TGTCTCTGTGCGTCCTGTCTACCGTACTGTCTTTAATGGGCTCGTCCTGTTTTCAGGCCGGTGTACACTTTCTATGAACTTTTACACCATTTCAGTGACTAAAGGGAAACTTCAGCCTTTTCCCCTTGGTGATGTATCAGCGCCTTTTTCTGTGTGCCAGGCTGCTGCTATTTTTTACAGGTAAGGAGGGGAATACTACTTCAGCTGCTATTATTACATTATATTACATGTGTTTATAGCTATATAAATGAGCTGCAAATTTATATAATCCCAATAGTAATGACAAAAAAGGTTACAAATGAAGTTACACAGAAGAGCAAAGAGGCAAATGTCCATGATTTGTACGTTTAAGTAACACAAAGTTTAAGGCTAAATAACAAATAAGACAAACTTGTTTTACCAGCTTTAAATTCCATGAACATGACAGCAAGAAGATCGTTGTGTTATTGTTAAAATGATAGTCTATGGGCAGAAATCTGTGCCATCAGAAACTGAATTTGAATAAGTTAAATTTGAATTTGAATTTATGGTTTGAAAATGATCATCACTAAATTGAAATTGAATTTTATATTTTGAAAATGAATTGATTTGCTTTGAAACTGAAATGGAGTGATATAAAATTATTCTGCTCATAATGTTTATGGACAGAATTTCTAGGTGCAGCAAGTGGCAGAAGGCTTTCAACTGGGTGGTCTCAGAATCAGTCAGGGACGAGTTCCTGCCCCAATTGGAGGAGTTTAAGTCTCGGGGTCTTGTTCACATGTGACAGGAGAAGGGGAGATCAATAGGCGTATTGGTGCTGCGGCTGCAGGGATGCAGATGCTGTGCCGGTCTGTTGTGGTGAAGAGAGAGCTGAGTGTAAAAGCAAACCTCCTGGGTGAGGTCTTAAAGGCATGTCCCACCAGGAGGAGGCCTCGGGGCAGAACCAGGACACACTGGAGAGATTATCTCTCTCAGATGGCCTCGGTGTCCCAACAGAGTCCCCGATACTAATTGGATTTTCCTAAATCTTTTTATAAGTGCAAAATGTTTACATGTGAATGCAATTACATTACAAACTGTATGTTGACAGAACCACCTTCGTGTTATTGCTATTATAACAGTAATTACAGGCTCACAGAGTGATAAGAGGGAGATATGACTCACACATTCTTGCATTCACAGTGTTGGAATATGAGATAAGTTATTGCATAGTTTCCACTGATGAGTCGGATTAACTTAAGACCTGTTTTCACATTTATACCTTGTGGTAGGATGTATGCAAAAGGTTATGTCAACAATACAAATCATTGTTCTTCTGTAAGAGGTGCAAATATTTTTCCGGGAGCAGAGATTTTGCTTTATGCCTCCGGCTGTTTCATGTGATCATCACTGTAATAATGCAGCTTACAATATTGTTATATTTTAATATTTTACTACTGC